GTTCATGAACACAATCAACTTTTTGTGTTCTGGTAGTGAATGTTACTTTAACGCACATGAAACAGGCTGGACTCTTACGCAGCTTTCAGTCACATTTCTGCATAACTATTTAAAAAATATGCTGTGATATGCTGTGAGAAAATGCGGCACATCCAAAAGAATGACCTGTTGCATGAAAGGTTGCCCCCACCCCCCCTCTGTGTTGTCCTGATTGCCTGTGGAAGATGGAGAATTTATGGGAAAAACTGGCTCTGAGCGCTGGCTGTCAGGCAGCATGTATAAACAAATCTAAATCTAATCACTCATCTCATTGGCTTGTAGTCTCTTAGGTCCTACTCCTGACCTTTTTAGTACACTAAACCCATAGCTAACCTTAATCATCTTTAACGTAATCATCCTCAAACACTAAAAAAAAAAACGTGCACAAAAAAATCCTGCAAAAAGTCTGAGTGGAATTGAGTTGAACCCCTCTCCCTGGTCGACATCTGCTCTCTAATTCCTTCTGCTTTATGTACTGATCTCAATTGTCGTCATCAGTGAGAAACTACAAGTGTTTGATTTCCCAAACAAGCTCTCAGCTAATTATGGAAACCTTCCAAAAAAGCGCTGATGAGCTTAGTGCAGTTTGACTCTTGGCACTTCTGTTCAAGCAGCTTGGATTATTTATTTATTTGTTTTTCTATCATCTCAGTGAAATCGGTGCAATGAGCCGTGCGTTCCTCCTGTGCAGACACACCTACGCATTTGGTGTGTTTGCTTCAGGACACGATACATCTGGCAGTACAAGGTGATTAAAAAAAGGTGAAATGAGACACCAGCTCGAATTACTCAGGAATGAATGAAGTCAGCTTTGCAAGAATTACTTTCTACTTCATCATGATTGTCTGACATAGCTGGTGGATCAGTTTGTTCTAATGGGGTGTCTGCAAAGGAAGCAGTTCGCTGATCACAAATTCAGAGAAAGTTGGAGAGATTCAATGATGACGGGTAAAAAAAACAAAGTGGGCATTTCCCCGAGTTAAACTTTTCTCACTTTCAAGGCGACATGTGACAGAGTTGCGGAAATTATAATGTCATCGAGGCAGCTAGAGCCTGGAATATCAAACATCATGGGGCGTCAACAGAGAAAGCGCTTTGTTGCTGATGGTTGGTCTCTAGTGGACGTCCCAGGCTCCAACTGTCTAGATAGCACTGTAACAATAGCTCCCCCCCTGTCATACGTCAATCAGCTGTATTCTTTGTTCTCATTGGTTGACACTTCAATCACTTGCTTTGGAGTTGAGAGAGGTTTATCTCAGGACCGGTCCACTCTTCATTCCCGAGCCTTTTTACACCCGTCGCTTGTCCCTTGAGCTTCAGAGCAAAGCGTGGCGAATTAATCGTTCCCCATATGGATGCCTTTTTGAACATCTCTCAACTCTGAGGCCAGTGACTGAAGCGGCCATCAATGAGAGCAAAGGGTACAGTTGATTCACAGAGGGTTACCTAGGCAACTGGAGCCTGGAATGTCCTCTAGCGGGCTGGATCACTGACATAGGAAATCACTTCCTGTGCCGACGCCCCTCGGTGTTGCTCAATACTTTACTACGCAAAAACTTTAGGCACTTGACTAAATCTGCGTCCACGCAGCATCACTTTGTCGCTAACGGATGGTTTCTAGGAGACGTTTCAGGCTCCGGCTGCTTAGGTAACCCAGTAACATATTTAATACCAGGTTATGTCAATCCTGTGCTCTTATCAGGAGCTTCTTCAATTGCTCGCCTCGATATTTTCAGGTCATGAGACAACTTTTTTCACTCGAAATCGCCAAATTTAATCAACACTCTATGGTTTCTAAACATTGCAAAAATTAAGTTTAATAAAGAATTTCTGCTTCTTCATGTAAGCCCATCTACTGCCTTGACACTTTTACAAAGCTGGCTTTTTCTCATCTTATATGTAGCTCAACCATGAACTGCCTGGCAACTTTAGGGCTGATTTTTCACATTATGCCTTCTGTATGCTTTCGGTGCTGTTATGGATCTATTGATTGCTCTTTGACACCCTCTGCCATGCTGTCACTCTTGCCAGCACCAAGATAGAAAAGGAAAAGAAGGAGCATGCGAGACAGCATGGGATGATTAGGACGGAAATCAGCGGGGCAGAAATTGCTGAAGAGATGGAGAAAGAGAGAAGATTCTTCCAGCTGCAGATGTGTGAGGTTAGTTGGAGCAATTATCAAGAGACGGGTTTCATTTGATTACCAGTGTTTTAAATATATATAACATGAATTAATGAAACATTAAAATTGTATGAAATCCTGTACTCGGGATAGTGTTTATCAAGTAAATAACAGGCAGTGGTGGGTTGAGAAAACAGGGCAGTTTCTGTCAAAGTAACGGTAAAAACGGAATACTGCGCAGCCTGTTGGAATACAAAAATCACATTACATGTAAGCATGTTTATGTGCTGAATGCCTTTTTTGGTGTTTCATTTTAATGAAGCCTTGCTTGAAAAATTAAGTTTTTGCCCTTTTGAAGTGTCTGGGTTTGAGATGAAAGGGATGTATACATTTGAGATGGTCCATGAGTATTTGAAGTCTCAGACTTCAGAGTTGCTTTTCCATCTGTGTGAACCTGGACTGACCCCTCTTCCTGGATCTGGATTCAATCTGTTTACAGTATCTCCTCAAAGTCAATGAGATCAAGATCAAGAAGGGGGTGGATCTGCTGCAGAACCTCATCAAGTATTTCCATGCACAGTGCAAGTAAGACGTGCATATTATATACGTCAAATTTATTTTACATCATAGGCCACGTACATACTACTTTGATGCTAAGTGGACCTGACCAGTGAAATTTTACACATTGTGTAAAATTACAGAAAACTTCTGGTAGTTCATCATCATCCAGACAGTCTTGTAATTAGAACATAAAAAGATTATGTTATTATATAGAAAACTTTTGTCCTTTCTGTAAATTCACTGTTAAAAAAAACAAAACACGTGCATTTATGTAGCAGATGGTGAAAAAAAGTGTCTGTTATTTAATTGTTTATCTAGTTGATGAGGCTCCTTTTATCTAAATAAAAAGCTGTAAAACCTAGGAAAATGTGGTTAAACGTTCAAGATCTGTGCACTCCTTTACATTCTCAAAAGCCATCCAGCGGGCCGAATAGGAGTCTTTACCAGGCCCATTCTGGCCCCTAGGCCCTATGTTTGACACCCCTGATACACGTGGTTAAATTGAGTATATATGAAAAGCATATTTTTACTGTCTAATAGTAAAGATTTAGTTTGGGGTATGCATACACAGTTGATGTTATTTTTAATGTATTATATCAACAATATTTTTAGGATGTAGGGAAATCCAATGCCCCGATCCACTGTCACTGTAAAAAAACAGTTACTCACGTATACTGTATCTGTTTTGTCACACTGGGATAAATTTGTGTGCTTCGTCATTCAGTTTCTTTCAGGACGGTCTAAAAGCTGTGGACAACCTCAAACCTTCCATAGAGAAGCTGGCCACAGATCTGCACACGGTCAGAGCCGTTTCAATCCAGCCTGTTTTTCCACTCTTAAACTTTCCTTTATGACTTAAACATGACGTGTGTCTGTACAGATAAAGCAGGTGCAGGACGAGGAGAGGAAGCAGCTGGCTCAGTTACGAGACGTCCTCAAGTCGGCGTTACAGGTGGAGCAGAAGGAGGTAACACCCACAACAGAAACAAAACAATCAAATGCTTTATGATGTACCGGACGAGCTCAAATCTGCTTATTAAACTTCAGCTTCTCTCAGTGATGACATTAACTTGGGACTCACGCACACACTAATGTATATACAACTCGATTACTAATCTATCCCTCTGGGTTGGGATCTAAACTATAATTGAAAAGAAGCACATCTTTTTTTCTTTTCTTACATCTGTCTTCTTGCATGTGCTATTAGTCGTTTACTTCTCTACCCAAATGAACTGAGGTAGAGTCCTCATCAGCTAGATGCTCAGTGAACTGTTAAATATGCTGCAAAGCGCAGCAGCTTCAGGTCTAATCTGAAGATTGTTTTCTTTTCTCCTCTGCCGCCGCCGCCTTTTGTGAAACAAGTCCAGAAGAGTAAGTGGATTTGTGAAAAAAAAGAAAAGCTATAGCATCTCGTGTTCCCTGTGGTGATGTCGTTGCTTCCAGTGCTCGATGTTTTCGATGTAGTAGCTCACAGTGTCGTTCAGTGAGAAAAGTTTGAGGTGGGGCTGTCATATCTTTTTTTGTGTGTGTATGTCTGCTGATATCAACACACATCAAGCTGCTCCACCACTCAGAAGTCGTCCTCTCTGTTTCCTGTAGTGTTTCCACAAAAAAGGAATATGCAAAAAAAAAAAAAAAGTCTGGGTCCTCTTTCATGGTAGCTGATGTATTTAAATGAAGCCTATTCAGGCTGCATGTGTTAAAACAGCAAGAATTGCTAATGAGATTTAAAATGCTAATGACACAATTTGGCCAGCTGCTGCTGCAGACTCTGACTTCAAAGGTGTACAAGCTCTTATTTTCTCCCTTCCCTTTATTTGCACAAAATCACTCAGGCTGAGAGGAGCAATCTTAACATAATTGATATTTGCTTTAAAATCCTCGGTGGAGCAGGAGACCCAGAAGCGCAGTGTAATCCAGAGCAATTTTGCGCTTGTGCAGCTCCCCCTCGACTTCATACTGTTTTTTTGCTAATTCAGTGTGTAGCTCCTGCCTTGCGCACCTCATTTGCTGAAATGACAGCTCTGCTTTGTCGCCTGTGTTTTTGCTGTTTTTTCCTCAGGATTCACAGGTGCGTCAGAGCACCACCTACAGCCTGCACCAGCCGCAGGGCAACAAGGAGCACGGCACGGAGCGCAGCGGGTACCTTCACAAGAAAAGTGATGGGTATGTTTAGAAAAGGGCGTTCAAAAGATCAGATGAGTCACTACACAACAAACTATTTTTTCAGTGAAGAACGCAGAGAAGGCTGTGGCGTTTAGAGGCCTCATTATTCCTCCACCTCTGTCTCTCTCGTGTTGGTGGGTTACTAATGAGTGTTTGTCAGCAAGATTGTGCAAAAATTACCAGCACAGTTTCATGCAGCGGCTTGGTGGAGCGATGGCACACATGCAGTAAAAGAGCTTGCAAAATAAAAGATGTGTGGTTTGCTTTGTTTGAAACAAGCAGTCTGCAGATCATCTTGAATGCTGAAAATGTCCATAACAAGTAGTCAATGTTTATTTTGGCGATCCTGCTAGATGACATTAATTTGTCAAAATTTATTCAGATCATTTTGGCTTTTAATTTTTTTTATTGTTTTATTGTAGACATGCTCACCCCGTGTGTCATAACTAATGCATGTGAATGCTAGTGGTAATGTGATAATGATAAATATTTCATAGGCTTTACCGATTCACTGCACGGGTGTATGCACGACATACTAATCGCTGCCGTCTCTGCGTCGCAGGTTGAGGAAAGTGTGGCAGAAGAGGAAGTGTACAGCGAAGAACGGATTCCTCACCATCTCACACGGCACAGTAAGCAAACAGTGGAAAGAAACACAAGACGACATCTTTTCTTCTGAAAACACACATAAACCTTTTCGTTTGGCTGCAAGCCTCATCATTGCTGCTTGTCTTCATATGCATTGCAGTGAAAAAGCACAAAAGTGAATTTTTAGCATTTTCTACACACTTTTAACACACTTCAGTGTGTTCAGTGTTTTTTTTTTTTTTTAGTTTTTAAATGATCATTTTTATTTATTTAAGGGGAAATCTATCCAAACCTACCTGAGTCTATGGAAAAAGGTGATTGCCCCCTTGTTATATTATGATTTTTTTTTTTTTTGAATAGTCCATCTCTGATTGAGGTTATTAGGTCTAGAGGACAATGACTTTTTCACACAGGGGGAGGTAAGTTTGGATAACTTTTTCCCCCCTTAATTGAATTAAATTATCATTTAAAAAACTGCATTTTATATTCAGCCGGCTGATCTTTGGCTAATTTTAAATTGCTTTGATGATCTGAAATATGTAAGTATGACAAATAGGCAAAAACTGAACTGCACATTTACATTTTCCACAGATCAAAGGGCAAAGTCTGCAAGTTAACACTCCTCGGAGTCTCAGTTCACTCGGCTCATTCCCATTAAAGATTCGGTCAACTCCTCTCGCTGACACGCTTCATCTCTCACAGAACTGCTTATCAGATGTTCTGTTTGGCTCCAGCAACAGTCAGATACACTTAAACCAACACTCCTGCTCACTTGTTCTCTCATTTTTCTCCTTCTCCCCTTTTCCTTTCTTTCCCTCCCTCCATCTGTCTCTCTTTCGTAGGCTAACCGGCCGCCAGCTAAACTCAACCTGCTCACCTGCCAGGTGAAACACAATCCTGAAGAGAAGCGGAGTTTTGACCTCATATCACGTACGTTCAGCCTCTTCTCTTTGCTTTCTGCCACCTATGTTATCTTTTTGCCTATTCCCAACTCTTTTCCATGTTTCTCTCCCCATTCTCTGGTGTGTTGTTGTAACCAAATGCCTCTGTTTAATTGGCTTCGAGCAGCAGCTGGCCGAGATTTGTTATGTAGCTGAGCAGATTTCAATTATTTCCCGTGCAGCAGAAAACAGAGATGATTAAGAGACAATATTAACACGTCTGGTCATAAAGAGATGGCAGGAAAGGAGGATGGAGAGAGGGACGATCTGTGTGATGATCATGTGACAAACATGGCAGTTTGTGGTTATTTAAATGAATTTAAGATGAAGAGACTAAACTTCAGGCTTTAGGGATATAACACAGTTTAAGTTTCCTTTCATTTAGTTGTATAAAAAAACTCCCATGTGAAGATGGAAACACTCGTACTTTATGTTTTTGTTTTGCAGCGCGCCCTCAGTCTGACCTTTCACTTGAGCACTTTAATGCCCTCTGGAGAGAATCACTCAAAGCTTTTTACTGCATATCTGCAGCTCTTTGACTGATCTTCTTCTTCTTCTCCAGTTTTTTTCTCCCGCTCATCTTTTCTATTCCATCATTTGTTTCCTTTTTTTTGTTTTTAGATGACAGAACGTATCACTTTCAGGCCGAGGATGACCAGGACTGTCAGATGTAAGTGCTTTTCCCTTCCTTCCTCTTGTGTGTGGGTGCGCCTGTTTATCACCTCCAATACTTTCCACACACTTCCTCCCTGACACACACTCAGTCACTTTACCTCCCACCTCATGCCCATTAACTGCCCTTTTACTCCAGTCTGAACCCCCCCTGTCTGCCTTAGCTGCGCCTGTTTTTACCCACTTTCCCCTTCTCCTCCCTGTGCTTCTTCTTTTGTCATTTTTCCTCTTTTCATCTGCCCGACTCATGTCTCCAGTGATCCTTTACTCTGTCCCTCCTGCAGCTGGATCTCGGTGCTACAGAACAGTAAGGAGGAGGCGTTAAATCAGGCTTTTAAAGGGGACCATCATGTCGGCGAGAACAACATCGTGCAGGAGCTGACCAAGGCGATACTGGGGGAAGTCAAGCGGATGATAGGAAATGATGTTTGCTGTGACTGCGGAGCCCCGAGTGAGTGGCACAGTTGGACGGGGGAAACCCTCAGATGCCTTAATAAAGTTCAATTTAAGCCTAAACAAATGGAAAACTAACACTTCTGCAAGGTGTTTTGAATCTTACATGATCATTATGTGATATCCCACAATTTAGATTATGCTAAACTTTTATACAAGACCAGAAACGACTAAGTATGCCTTTTTTTCAGTTAAACACAAGGTTTACATGCTTTTCATGTTTTTGTTTTTTGATAATTGAAAGCATAGTGATGCCAGCTCATTTACTTTGATAAATGGACCAGATTGGGTTGAATGACAGGCGTTGAGATCTCAGGATTTCCTGGGATTTTCCTCCAGTATCAGCTCCTTTTTCCCTGAAGAACTTGTTTATGTGTTTGTGTACTAAGAGATGATTTATGGGAAAGACACGATTGCGTAACTGCTGTTGTGTAGACCTCAAATTGTAGTAATTCAGAAACCATAACGATCTCAAATTTTAGTTGGCTGGCGTGCGCACATAGTTGGTGCGTCTCCAGTCATGAGGATCTTCCGATTTCTTCAATTCCTTAAACATCATTTGGATTAAAGATTTTTAAGTCTTTACATTTAGCTTCAAATATTACTCTTATATAATTTCAGGTGTTTTTTCTGTCTTGCTTACAGCTGGGATCTTAGTAAATGCATGTACAGTGGACCCTAAGAGTATTGTTCCAAATAGAGCCGCACCGAGTGCATTTTACACAGCACAGCAGCCGATAACTTCATTAATTATTTAAATCTCCTGACACAGGGGACTGGATCAAATCAGAAATGTCCACAGTTCTGCAGTCACGATCAGATTTTCTGGAAAAAGCAACATTGACTTTAACATCCTTCCGCTTGTATCCTCGATTCCTAAAGGCAGCGGACACTTAGAAGCCTGCCTGGAGGCAGATCAGACATGTGCACAATGCTTTGGCAAAGTGTTTGCTGTAATTTAATGTAGTATACAGTACTTACGGGGAGCAGGTAGTGTAATTCATGCACACCAGTGGTATAAATTCCTCGTATTGAAAACTCTTAGAGTGGTTCCCCTGAGGAAATATTCTGCCACAACCTTGAAATTAGTTTTGTGAAATCCCCCAGACCCATGAAATACCCCCACCACAGATCTGTACTTTATTATAGTATGTATGTACGGCAGGCACATATACCTACACATGCACAGAGTAAGCAGTCCAGCTCGGTCACTTTCCTGTGTGTGTGTGTGTGTGTGTGTGTGTGTGTGTGTGTGTGAGGCTCTTCAGGCAGCCGTTAAATTTCCAGAGCATTTCCACAAGGGCACATCAAAGTTGGCTCACAGGCTGCTGAAATGACTTCTGCTTCAGTGCTTTTCACCCAATTAGTGCGCCACCCACATACACTCCTCTCTCATGTCACTCATGCATTGTTTATGTCCCTTTTTCTCCATTTTCTTTACAATAATCTTTCCTTTTTTACCCCTTAACAGACCCGACATGGCTATCCACCAACCTGGGCATCCTCACCTGCATTGAATGCTCAGGGATACACAGGGAGCTGGGAGTCCACTACTCGCGGATCCAGTCCCTCACACTGGATGTACTCAGCACCTCAGAGCTCTTGGTAAATCACTTCCCATCTTCTTGTTCCTCTTTTTCTTATCCAGAGCTCTCTGGAACATTTTAAGCAGGATAAGCTTGGAAAATGAAACAAGAAGGTAAAAAAATAGTGGGAGATTTTAAGGACAGGTGGACAGTAAATAAAGATTGGGTGAAAATGAGAAGCCTTACAGTGCCTTTTGCGTCTTCCTCTTTAAAAGACCTCTGGAAGTCTGCACACTCAGAATAGCTGAGATTTTGTTTGGCTTTTCTAATCACCGTTTGGTGTAGTGATTTACTGCCTAAGGGACGGTCGGGATTAAATGCTTCCAGCCATCATTGCTTTCCCTGGTGTTAAGACGCCAGTCATGTTGGCCACAGACAGATGGGGCGTTGTGGAGTCTGTAAGGCTCCACACTTGGAGCTCAGGATGTCTCCTGCCTCCCGGTGGGGGCGTGATTGGAGCTGATGACTTTTGAATTAATCGATGTGGCTCAGAAAATGACACATAACTAGTTTTAATTACTGTGTGTGTGTCTGTGTGTGTTCCACAGCTGGCCAAGAATGTGGGGAATGTAGGCTTTAATGAAATCATGGAGGCTTGTTTAAGCGCTGAAAACGTGGTGAAACCCAACCCGGCCAGTGACATGTAAGTCACCCCCTCACACTCCATTCTTCCTCCCTCCCCTCCCCTCACCTCCATAGTTCTTCTGCTGCTCCCATCTCCTCACTGATCTCAGTTTACACTCTGCACATCGATTTGCGATCCTTTTATGTGACCCTTTAACACATTTTAAGTAACAAGTTTGACATGTTTTTATTGATTATCTCTTCTGTTTTAAAAAAAAGTAAGAAAAGAATCTGAAATCTGATCAACTTTTTATCATAATCACAAAAGCTGTTTTTGATCCTCAGAGTGAGAACAATTAAGGCGACTTCTGAAAGAACAGTTTAATGCATTATTGAAACCTGGAAATGTACTTTTGAGGTGTTGTCTTGAGGGAAGAAGTGTGATTGGGGGAAGAAAATCTTGAATGATTCTAACTTTTGATTGGATGGTCGTAGATCGCTAAACATTAGCAGAATTCATGGCTCTTGTTAATGGTAGTGAAAATAAGAGCATTTCCACATGCACGGTGCAAAGAGAACTCAAGGGTTTGGGGCTAAGCAGCTGGATAGCCTTAAGAAAACCACTTGCCAGTGAGACTAATTGGAGAAAAGGGTTTCAGCGTGCCAGGGAGCATAAAGATTCAGCTCTGGAGCAATAGAAAAAGGTTGTGTGATCTGATTACTCCAGATTTAGCCTGTTCCAGAGTGATGGGTACATTGAGGTAAGAAGAGAGGAAGATATGGTGATGCACCCTTTATGCCTGGCGTCCACCCTACAAGGGCCAGAGTGATGATCTGGGGTCACTTCAGCTGCTAGAGCTGATAAGGTCCAGGTTTAGCAAGATTAAAAAATGAAGACAGCAAATTAGTTTTTCCATCAATGGATTTTTTTCTTCCCTGATGGCACGGGCATATTCCAAGATGACATGCTAGGAGCATCTGTGTCCTCGTGTTCTCCCCCAGGCAGGCGAGGAAAGACTTCATCACAGCCAAATACACGGAGAAACGTTTCGCCAAGAAGAAGTGTCCGGATGCGACGTCGCGGCTTCACACGCTGTGCGATGCAGTGAAGGCCCGAGACATCTTCTCCCTCATCCAAGTCTACGCTGAGGGGGTGGACCTCATGGAGCCCATTCCTCTGGCCAACGGGCATGTCAGTGCACAACATATGTTAACATTTTCCTGCGTACCATTTCTCCTCCTATTTATAATAATCTGTGGTATTATTATTGCTCTCTATCTCCTTCCATGAACCTGAAATCCACCACACGTTCCAGAGATTTCATGCAAATGCTTGATCGTTTTATTTCAGGAACAAGGGGAGACAGCTCTTCATCTAGCGGTGAGGCTGGTGGACAGAACGTCCCTTCACATCGTCGACTTCCTCACTCAGAACAGGTAAACACAGCACTGAAGGCAACCAGAAATCAATATGCTGAGATGGTCTGTCGGACCATCATAAAAAGACCAAAAGCTTCTTTTCAGTCCTGCTGGTTTCTTGACATCCACTTTTTTTTCTGTTAACTCTCTTTTCTCTATGGACAGAAACTATTTGCATAATAATAACAATGATGCATTGAAAACAACAATAGAGCTTTGTTTTGTTGCGGTTTGCGTGCTAAAAACACAATTTTACAAAAAGTGTTTGTATTGGCAAAACTACTCCCTGGTCTTATTGAGCACTGAGGCAGGACAGAAGAAAGCTGGATTTTGTATCCTCTGTGTTGGGATTTAAAGTGTTTCCCCTCTTTGTTTCTCTTCCCTGGAAGTTTAAATTTGGATAAGCAGACAGCCAAAGGCAGCACAGCGCTGCACTACTGCTGCCTGACTGACAACAGTGAATGTCTGAAGCTGCTGCTGCGGGGGAAAGCCTCCATAGAGATTGGTAAGGAAAAACACCAGAAACAAACAGCACAGCCGCAGTGCATCAACAGTCCATTGTTCTTTTTCTGCAGCAGCTAACAAAGTGCAAGGACTGAAATATTGTGATTACAGTTTTGAGGTAATTGTGCTTTGAGTGATTCCATGTCCATCTATTTCTCTCCCTGTACATTTAGTCCTTCACATTTTTCTGACAGCGTGAGACACTGGTCGTTTTAATCAGGAATCACAAGCACAAAAAAACCAATTTTGCAGATTAAACTTGATCACAGCACAATTTAAATTGCACATTACTGCACTGTGCAAAAGTCTGAAGTTCCCCCTCATTTCTTGGTATTTTGATTTCAAGGAGTTAGACTTTCTTATAGTTGTAATATTAACTGGTTTAAGCACTAGCTTTCCAAAGCTTTCTAAAATTGTCAAAAGGGCCTCTTAGGACAATTTTCTATCATTTTCAATCCACTCCTTGTACTTGATCATTTTCAGAGTATTATTTTTTTGTGTGTTAAGCCACTTAACACTGACTTCTGAATCGTTTGGGCTTTAAAAAAAAGCACCTAACTTAAGGGATGAACCATTTTTTCTGCCTACATATAACATACGACTTGGCAAAGAATTGGTTTTAGGTCTGAAGTGGTGTCAAGAAGCCATTCTTAAGGAAGGGAAACTGAGAGAAAAGGCTGAGGTGTGCCATGTTATGTAAGAACTGGACTAAAGAATCAATGACAACAGATCTTATATAGTAATGAAATGATAAAATCATCATCAGTTTGTGTGGAGGAGACCATGAGGGGCACAGTGAGTGTAAAAGATGGCGTCATGCTTTGTGATCTGGTCAGAACTGAATATAGAAAAGTCACATTTTGACCTTCCGTGCAATACCATAGGAAAAACTTCTAATCAGCATGGCAATGTTCTTATTGCTGCACCTATTTACTAGTAAAATATAAAGAAATGAGTGGTGGCTCAAGACTTTTGCACATTATATAGAGGCCACTGCAATGGAATTTCTTCATAACAGTGTGCTTAATACATGAAAGCTGCTCGTATTTATAAAGTTGCTTTTGGGTGAGACTTTTGAGTCCAGGATTTTGTTTTCTCTGGTGGCCTATCTTCATCTCACACTTGGTTCCCAGAAAACAAGCCATGGTAACGTTTTCTCACAGCACTTATCTTTCTGCTCTGCTCTGAAATCAAACAAAACAGCCAGATAACAAATGAATGGAGACGGAGCACAGAGAGACACCAGAGAGATGCTCGGTGTGGGAAACGGTTTAATTATACATTTGTCTTGTCACAGTGACAGGAAAGGGAGAAAATGGGCCGTGTGTTTGTGTTCATGTGGCTTGTGAGTACAACAGTGATTATATGTGTCTGTTGTTTTGCCTTCTAGCTAATGAGGCCGGGGAGACACCGCTGGATATCGCTCGAAGGCTCAAACACCTACAGTGTGAGGAGCTGGTGAGCTTACTATGTTTAGACCTGGCTTAATCCTGCAAGCACATCGTCGCTTCGTGAAATGTAAGAGCTGTCAGTCATTTGCGTTTCCGTACGTATGTGTTTACAGCTGAACCAAGCACTGGCAGGAAAATTCAACGCCCACGTCCACGTCGAGTATGAATGGTGCCTGCAGCACGAAGACCTGGATGAGAGCGACGAGGATCTGGATGAGAAGGTGAGGGATGCTTTTGTGAATAATAATAGTTCCTTTTCCCTTAAAGATTTCAAGACAAAAGAGTTTTAAAAAAGTGATAAAGAGACAAACAAAGAAACATGAAAGGGATGAAAACGACTAACGCTTGAGAGAGAGATCAAATCAGCTTTGTAGGGAGGCTGCTGTGAAAAACAACCTGAAGAGCTCTGAATTTCTGCAAAAGGTTTATTTTATTTTATTTCCACTAAATACAATCTCCTTAAATTAAACACTAAACTCCTTATTTCCTTTGTGCTTTAAATGCGCTTTGTCATTCCTGCTGCCTGAAATGATTGAATGTGATTGGATTTTGGACAAGTTGAATTATTGATAGTTAAACATGTTGTTTTCAAGGCTGAATTTTAACACAGGAGCCTTATATATATATATCTAGGAGGAGAAATGGTACATTTTAACGCAGGAGTTAACCTGCCTCAAGTGGCCATTCGAGGAACTGCAGTTTTGGCGCTGGCTTGATTTTTCAAACCCTGAAAGTTGCCACTTAGATTTGATTGGACCTGAGTTCATTATTGAAAACTCATCAGATAATTGAAACTGGTTCAATTTTTTGGGGGAATAACCATGTTTTAATTTTATTTTTGTTGTGTTTTTGCCTTTGTTGAAGTGTTGTAGCCAAATGAGAAATCTCCTAAATACTAAAATAATTATTCAAACTAATGCTAAAACATTAGTGAGAAGCTTTATTAAAAGGCAAAGACAAAGTCCCATGACTGGGACATTGCTGCCTGCACAGAGCGTGCAGGAGTCACATGACAGCCATACTTCACTATGAATGCTCACGTGCACCTATGTCACGTAATGTCAATAAAAAGTTCAGGATTGTGGTGCATGTGTAAAGTGCATGGTACCTAGGTTAATCATATATGATGTGCTCCTGTCTCACATTGTGTAACTGTAATGCTCACATCCTCACATGCATGCCTCCCCTCCAGCCGAGCCCCCATCGGAGAGACGAGCGACCGGTCAGCTGTTACACCCCGAGCAGTAACTCCCACCACGTACAGTCCGGCCTCGGCTCCGCCGGCCGTGAAGCTAAGGACAAGCAGCGCCTCTTCATGCCCAACCTGGTCAACAACGAGACTTACGGCACCATAGTCAACACAAACCCCCCTCAGCCCACCACCAACTCTGCTCCACCTCTGCCCCCGAGGAACCTGGGTAAGCTCAGAAAGGAGAAATAAAGGCGAATGGCAGGCATTTAATAAATCTGTTACAGTTTATATGAATGGAAAAAGATGATCTCATTCTCCAGATAACACAGATAACCTCACTTCTTCTGAAGCTGGCCTCTTTGCCTGCCTATAAGGAAGTGATATGAATAAAAAAATCAATAAATAAAATCTAGTGACTTGCCACAGTCGGCCTATAATACCATTAGTGTCTGTTTGGAGTGCTGCCAACAGAGCAGAGGACGAACAACCAGCTGTGTCGCCCCCCTCACGTCCCCACAGCTCCCAGCCTCGGCATTCATTGCCCTCATTAACCGTCGCTCTCAATTACACTGAAATGGAAACGACTTGACTTTATTAGTGGACGCTGGTTCTGGCAAACAGCCCTGCTCTCTCTTAGTCTCCCTTCTTTTTCATTTTAATAACCCCCATCTTCTTTTTCCCCATCTCGTCTCCAGTCCAGTTGTCCGGCCCGGGAGGCTCAGCGTCCAGCACCTGGAAGCCCAGTCCTTTAGACCTGACTGGCCGACAGAGGTCGTCTTCAGACCCCCCTAACATGCATCCTCCGCCGCCGCCCATGAGGCTCACTTCCACTGGAGGTATGGCCCCAGTTTTGTGCACGCTTAAATGCTGCCTTTAAGGCATAGAAACTCGTTCTCAGTCTTGACCAGAGCTACAGTGAAGTGATTTAATAAGACGCAGTGGACATTTTATAGATGTGTTTGGATCGCAGCTCTTCTCAGCGTCTAATAAAACATTTTACTGGAAGAAAGCTGTTTAATGTTTCACATGCACTTAGCTCACCTTCACAGTTTTCTTTTCTTTCCACATGCATATGTCAAAGGTTCTTCTGACCTTAATTTATCAGTTGATCTATTTAAAACCAGACTTCCTGACTCATCACAACATCAGCTTAGTCACATTTTTCTTCACACTGTAAACAAATGAGCTAAAGCAAAGGATTGCTGTGTTCCAGCTCTGGGTCTTCCTACTGCGATGAAGATGGACTCCATGAGCAAGTCAGGTCAGGGGCCACTGGGGTCCCGGGCGGTGCCACCTAAATCTCCCGCAGGGTAAGAACATAAAGGTGCATTTATTTATGCACAGCAAAGTTTTAGATTTGTACTAGAGCTTTCTGAGCTACACAAAAATATTCATGCATTCACACATACACATGAAGATTGTGCACTGCGGTCGTGTGTCTTGTTTTTGCTGCTTGTTTTGTGGCGTTTCTTTCCAAGTGGATAGAGACGCTTCTTTAGCTTCTAGGCTAAGCTCCACATCAGGCCAGACAAGTAATAACTTTCCTCCACAGTCGTCCTTTTGTCCTTTTTTTTTCTTTTTCCTTCCCACAGGCCTCATAGTGTTGTGATAAATGTCTGACAGCCCTTTGAGCTTCCTCAAGAGCTCTTTTCTCCATCTTGGTACGACTATCACTCCCTTCTTTTTTTTATTTCCAGAAATGATAAAAGTTTCAGCAGAGGACCCCTAAATCGAACAGAATCTAAAGAAAGAGCATGTGAGTAACATTGCGTGTGAGTATTCGCTCAGATCCCGTTTCTCCTCTGGAAACGTGGAAAGTTTTGTTGTTAACCGTGATCTAATTTCCTTTTCTCATTCCAGCTAAGGAACTGCCAGGATGCCCTCAGAACTCCATAGGTCAGTCTCTGCCTCCAGCCCCCATGCCGAGGAAAGCATACTCAGTGAGTCCCTGATTTTTATTTTTTTCAATTACCCCCCCACCCCCTTTAATTATCATCCAGATTTTACTTTGCATATTCATTCAGTTTGCAGTACAGACTCATCTGCAGCTTATTTCCTAATTCATGGCTTACTGCCTTTGTAGAGCTGTGTAAGTCCCCTCCCTATTGTTTCAGTGATTCTAGTGCTTGCTTATAAATTCCCCTTCTGCAGCCTGACTCCATAATTTGGCCTTATTCTGCATGTGAGAGGGCTACTGCTGGCATTTTGTGTTTCATGTTAGCACATTTTAAGCGTTTTAATATTGCAAAGCGATTTGAAATTGACTAGAAAAACCAGAAAAGAGTGCACGTCTTTCATTTGCGTGGTCTGTACAGTAATCCCCCTCGCTGGCTTCTAGTTGTTGGTATTTGCCAGTCCAATCCCATGCAGTGCCGCGATGATTCACAAACTTCATCTTCTCGTCAACTTTGCCTTAGTTTGCTGTTTAAAAAGTAAAATCCCACAGATTAACGCAAATGCCCTTGAAATCCTGTGTGTGTGTGTCTGTGCTTGTTCCCGTGTCCCAGAAGCAGAGGCCAAAGCGAGTGAAAGCCATGTACAACTGTGTAGCTGACAACCCCGATGAGCTGACCTTCTCCGAGGGCGAGGTGATCGTGGTGGACGGAGAGGAGGACCAGGAGTGGTGGGTCAGTATCTGTCACGTTGAAGACTCGGTGTGCAAGTTGTTTTGTGCATCTTGGATGTTTGCACGTGTTTTCAGATTTGAGATATTAAACATTCTTTGATGGATGTCGGCGTTTTTTGTAACTTTGATAAACCATGAGCTCATTCCCTCCTCCTCTTTTTCCGAATGCTGCTGCTTCTGCTTCCTCTGTGGAGCCCCTTGTGTGAACGCTGACCAGCTGCAACTTGTTTTCTGTGAGCCACCCCTGCAGATATGACCGTATTTAGTCAGTCTCACTTTGTGTCCCTCCATGGATCCAGAGTTTCCCCCCGAGGACCCCGTTGCCATGCTTCCTCTCTGTCCTATGTCCAGCTACATTATCACTCTTTTTGTGTCTGAGATATCAAATAACAGCACAGACGGGTCTATCATACACTATAAAGTCTGTTTCCTATCAAAATATTCTAGAAAACCGGCATAATGAGGAAAGAATGCTTTACAGTGTTTAAACCATGACTTTTATCTCTGATGTAGTTCCTCTGATAAGCTTTGATCAGCATTTGATGTTGTTACTTGCCATGTTTCATTTAACTTTATCGGAGCAGAAACATGTCCTAGCTTTTTACTTTCAGGTATAGACGACCTTTAAAATGTCTTTAATGGAGATAATAGGTACTGTCTTCTTTATCCTCAAGGTAATTTAAAAGGGGAAAGTCTTTTACGTGTAAAGCTCTGTTTGTTGTGACGTAGCCTTTTATTACTCTTTGCAGATTTAGATGGTGTTTCTGTTGATTCAGTTTTGTTTGACAAAATCCCGATTGATTTACATGGATACATGCTCATTTTTCATATAGCTGAAGATGTATTTTTTAGATTCTGAGCCAAACACAGAAAAAATAGAAGTATATCAACTAAATCCAAGCACTTTAGAGCCTCTAACGCTGCCTGCTGTGTATCCTGATAATACTTGCACACATGACAAATGCTCATTTCCCCCTCTGTGAGCACTGAGGGACTGTATCTGTGCATTTTCACACTTTTAGCTCAGTATACTTGTGTCAAGCATTATAATATACACCAATAAAAGCCAAAGAAGTATGTAAGTAGTAGTTTTGGGATTTAAAATATCAAAACTGAATCACATGGGTTGAAATCACAAATATTGGAAAAGTCTTCCCCACCTGTTTTTAACTACTCTGTCATTTTCTGTGGTGTTTAGTACTGTCGTAGACTGTATGTTAAAGATGGGCGTAGCTTCCCTCTAAAAAAGTGAAGCCAATGCTGAAGAGCCTGAAAGCTGCATTATTTCATAACGGCCAGCAGGTGGCAGCACTGCTTATTGCCAAAACAGGTGCAAAAACAAACCCTCATTTGATTTGATTTCTAACCTCAGTAAACGCTTCAAGTCTTATTGCAAACAGCTCAGTCAGATCCAGGTGTTTGTCCAAACGCTCAGCCTGAGGCTACACAACTTTAGTCAGCCAGTAGGTGACTTCCCCGTGGCTATGTCCATCTTTTAGATGAAGTCTGTGCATACTTTAGTTGACTCAAATAATTTAAGCTTCTACCCAAACAGACTAAACCCCTCTGTTTTCTTGTCATGGCTGCCTCATATCGTCCTCCGACCTCACGTCTCATCTCTGTCTTTGCTCTTCGCAGCTGGGCCACATCGAAGGCGAGCCAATGAGAAGAGGCGCCTTCCCCGTTACGTTTGTGCACTTCATCGCCGACTGAAATCCGGGACTCGGGAAGTATCACACGTCCCACTATCACCGACAAAACATCCACCATCGCCCCAGTGTTTGCAGTCGACGTCATCGGCACCATCATCACCATCTCCGCTGGCGTCTTGAGCGAGCTCGTTCAAGCGTCACTGCTGCTCCAGCGAGTCTGGGTGTCACAGGGGACTCATCGGACTCTATGTGGTTTTAATGCTTGCAGTTAAAAAAGAAAAACAAAACAAAGATGATTGTAGTGAATGTCCTCTCGCAATAAATGCACTTTTCTTGTCTTTTCCCTCGTTGACATGTATGTACAGGATTCCTCTCATCCATTTTCTCCATTATACAGACAGTCCTTAAAGCGACAGCACTGAGAAGATCACAGCGTTGTGTTTTAACTTACTAACAGCTGTCAATGTGAACTTAGTCCCCATGCTTACATTCCATATCTGTGCATGAGCAATTCTGAAATGCCTGCTTTTAGGTGCAGCTTTCCACATATGTAGTAGCCCTCCCCTGTGGAGGTTTTCCTAATGGTGCTAAGTTAACCTTAAAATATGCTGGAAGTTGCACCCAAGGGAGCCTTTCCCTGACCCAATTTCAGTGACGGACTGGCAATCGAGAACGGGGATGCTGCATGTTAAAATAGCCTCCAGCCCATCACACCTGGGAGAGTCCACTTTCCCGAGCCGGCATAGAGTAATAGGAACATGCATCCTCTGCAAGGCTTTCCCCCACACATGCACACTGCCTGCACCAATTTAAGCTGCGGGGCAGGGGGTCATATTCAAAAGCAACACTCCAGTTATTCCTTCTCCTCCAATGCTGACTGGAGCTGCAACAGGCAGTAATTACCTTTATGCTGAGTCCTAACACCTCAGGCCGTCTCCGCCTGTCATCTGCCTTATTAGAGGAATAGAAGCGTGTGCTTGTATGTGTGAGTGCATGTTTTGTCTGTACGGAAATAAGCTGCAAACGAAAGCATATTCAAATAACAGGGAGCAAAAAAAAATGAGAGCGTGGGAATGAGATGAAAAGCGGGAGTAAGCTCTGTGACTTTTGTTGCTTCCTCGAGACTTTTTCTTCACAGATGAGCTAAATAAAGAGAGAGGGAACACCCTTCCTGCAGCTTAAGCCTCATATAGTACTTTTAAGACAAGTTTATCTAATGCGTTGTGAAATAAATATTAAACATAGTGTAATTAACTTCATTTTAGTTGCAGAGCAACTTTCTCTCTGTTCATATTGTTGATATTTAGGCATTTAACCTGAAATCGGAGCCTTTCATGGATTTGTGAATGACGAGAGGGTGGTAGCTGATGCGCACTGTCTCCACCGTGTTGATTATTAACTCACTGGATTGTTAAATCTGTTTGTGTAAATAGAGCAGGTTTTGTTTGTGGATATTTAAATGTAAAATATTGAAAATAAAAGGGAGGAAAAAAAAAAGAAAAAAGAGATGAGCAGGTTAACCAGGGCAGTAAATGTCTTTTAATGCACTGTGGTGATGAGCAGTCACACAACCTCAGCTGGGCCTGTGTGTGTGCTGTAAACATGAATACAGACACGAATGTGTGCACACACACAAACAATATTCAAATCATTCTCATTAACAGTCTGTGAATCACTGCATTGACTCCTAACTCTGTTGTGCAAGTAAATCGGAGAAAAAAACAAACAAACTGGAACAATAAAATCTGAAATAGTGCGAGGCGTCGGTGTGTTTCTTCTTCAGAGTTTGTGATCCAGCAGCAAGTGTTTTTTCTTCCATTACCATATTTCGTGACCTGCATTTTAAAAACAATCTTGTCAAGCTAAGAGTTAAATGATGTCTCATGAGCTCCCTCTGCTGGCAAATGCACTCAAGAAAAGGAAAACACTCCTCTGCTGTACCTGATCCACGTCTTTATTTTCCTTCTTCACACACATTTTCAACTGGACCAAAGTATTATTTCACAAGGTGAAGTCAAGTTAGTACCACAACTGTAAACAAGTCCCACAAAATCTTACATGTGTCGCTACCAGCCTGTTAAAATTTACTTTTTCCCAGCTAATCACACTTTTGGTACCAAGAGTTTAAAAAAAAAAAAAAAGATTTAAAATAAGCTCAAGTAAATCTTTAAAAATGAATAAATCCCACAAATTAAAATCAATGTGTCCAAAAAGTGAGGCGATATTTATAACATTCCTTCTGGTCAAAAAGCGACCACTATTGTACCAATACTGCTGTTAGAAAACAAAACACTCACAGGGTTTTAAAACCTGAAGAGGGATTTGAGTGATTTCCTCTTGAAGCCAGCTGTCACATCTGTGTACCGAGCAGTTAATCTGATGATTGTCTTCCGTGAATTAACATATGCCAGCAAAGTTTTAGCACTATGTAGTACCATTGCGTACATTAAATACACTTAACATTACACTTATAAAAGCTCTGCATTGTGTCCCAAAGCTATATTTAATGCAACCGTTTCCCTCCTTACTACACCTCCTTTTAATATTTATTGTGAGAAGGCAAAAAAAAGGAAACAAATTCCAGGGAAGTGACTCAGGAAAATTCACCACAGTTCTGTTTTAACTGGATGGATTACAGGAAGGGGAACAACAGCTAGCTCACGCCAGACTTTTCCATCAATAACAAAGATTACGCACCATCAGATCTGCCCTTTAGATGACCTCTCAGAAGGGTAAGAAAGCAAAAGTGCAAAATTTTTGCCAATAACAATGCTGGTTGTCTAACTGTTGCTGGTTTTGCCGATGTTTCGCTCTCATCCCAACTCTCACTCAGAGCCTCTGGACTTGTCTGATGTCAGAACGCAGTCGAAGGAGGCCGACAGCACTTTGCAGATGGACTGCGCCTGCTCCTGTTCAGACAGACAGCAGATGTCACGCATCAGGCAAAGGAAACGCACAGTGACCGTGTAAAAGACCTTCCATTTCGTACTTACTGAGCTGCTGCACTGGTACACCCAGATGCTGCACTCTTCTTGCTTTGTGTCGGTGGTTTTCAGAGCCAGCAGGTTCTTCCCCGCGCCTAGGCCGTCATCGTAGCACAGCATACGCACGATCAGGTAGAGAGGATGGCGATGCAGCACATTCTGAGAGTGGAGAACAAAAACACATAGTAGGGGTCTTTTTCAATTTGTTAACTCCGTTTCCAAAAAATGATTTGCAAATCATTTGTGTGCCATGTTTAATTTAAGTTAAATTACGTTAAAATTAAACTGTTAAATCAAATCACATCAAAGGTTGGAAGTGTGAAATTTCACTGCACATTCACAGAATTCGCGCTCACTTTGAATTTGATGCCAGCAACATTTTTCAGTGCCTTGAGGGCAGGAGCATGTTTACCACCCTGTTGCATCACCTCTTCTTTTTAAAATTCAGGTAACCGAGGAGCTCAGTTGTTGTAGTTTAGACACCAAAATGTTCCTCCGTTCTTGGGATACTCTTTGAAATGACTGTGTACCACCTTTCTATTCCTTTACTACTCACACAGTGGTCCAGCGACGCCACCTTGACGCCGTACTTGGACACTACGAGAGCCATCTCCTCATCTCCGGGAACAAATGGCAGCTTTCCATCTTGCTATGAGAAGAGGAAGCAAAATTTGCAGTACCTTCTCTGTTTTATATCAGAATAATTACAGCATGTTTCCAAGGAGAAAGGTTAAAGTTAAAATGTGCCCAGATCTTTCTCCAGCTTCTTACCTGAGCAGCATCAATGTAGTTGATGAGGTCCAGCGGTTCCTGGAGGGTCTTGCTCATGTCAAACTTTAACTTCTCAATAGCACCCACATATTTCACCCGAAACTCAGCGCATGTCTCAGATGTGTTGTTCCCTATAGACAAAAAACCCCCCACCAGTTAGAAAATTAAACTGCGAGGCTGCTTCAAAATTTTAAACAGGAAGTCAAGCTGACCTGAGCTTTTGGTGGAGTCTGTGTCAAGACTGGCAACAGTGCTCGATCTGGAGAGTCCTCCCAAGCTGGAGTCCACAGACTGCAGTGAGACAGAAACATTAGACAGCGCCGCCTTAATGAAACGCAAAGACACACATGTGTCCGCATGCTTGTGTTGTTAACCACCTTGCTCTTTGTGCTGATCTCACTGCTTTGCGAGCTGCTGCTGCTGTGGCGCTTTTTGCCTTTCCGGAACATCCTTCACCATGACGACCGCATCCAGCCCTCCAGACCCGCTGACCTGGATCATCACAGGGCTCAGAGTTAAACATGCAGCATGGCTGCCTTCTCAGGTGTTAATGGAGCCCATAAATAATTAAATGCAGGACACAGGAGCATATACGGTTTGAATAATTGATACTTAGTTTCTTTCTCTTTCTTATAAGAGAAGAAGAAAAATAAAGATGATCCCACACTGCTTAAATGACACTGGGGGTCTGGGCTCTGGGGAGGCCAATCCATGACTGATAGTGTTCTACTGTGCGTTTCTCTACCCTGGTATACTTTTACTGCATTGGCAGTGTTTTTGGGATTACTGTCATTCTGTAAAATAAAGGCATTGCCAATCAGGCCCTTTCCCGATGGCACTGCCCAGTGGATTAAAATCTGATGGTACTTCTTCTGTGTTCATAATTCCATCAATTCTGAAAAGGTCCCCAACAGCACTGGCTGAAATGTAGCCCAAACCATGAGAGAGTAGTGCGTTTTACAGATGGCTGCACACATTCACCATTGGACCGTTCTCCTCTCCTCCTTTATACATGCTGATGACAATCTGAACCACTAATGGCAATTTAAAGAAAGAAAAGATTCATGGGTGTGTGTTTAGTGGCTTCATTGAAAGTAAAATATTAAGAAATGAGGGCTGGCTCAAAACAACTGCTAAATATCTTTCATGAAATTCATAAGATTTCTTGGATATTTATATATTTTTATTACTTTGGCAAGTACATGTTTCCAGTTGGTTTCTTTTTAAAAAAAAAAAATAATAAAATAAAAATTGGGCTTTATTTTTATTCTAGCGAACTAAAATCCTTTCCCTCAATCTTCTAGACCAGTTTTAGTTAAACTATAATAACCTTGAGTCATCCACACAAAAAGACATCCTAATTAAAATAACAACATCCACAAGTGAAAGGTGAGATATTTGTTCGAGTAGTTTCTTCATGTAAGAAGGTGTACTTGTCCTGGGAACTCTGAAAGCAAAGTTAAACTAAGGCTAGAAAAGCCCAAACAGAATAATGTTGAAGATGTTCTGCTGTCTATATTCAGTCACCACAGCTGCTAAACATTTCACTTTCAACTTGGGTTTAATCACGTCTGAGTCTGAAAATAACTCAGGACCAGAATACTCAGAATAACAGACGATATAACACTCAAACAAGAGCCTAAATTGATAATATCGATTATAAACACAAATTTGTGAGATCATTTGTACTTTTTAACATTATAGTATAGTATTACAGTACTATTTAACAACGCGTATAACCACCAAGTTAAAAACAGGAGCACCATTTAAACAGGAAACTACACCTGCTACTGTAACAGCCTCGTTTGGGTGCGGTTTGAACAGCGTGTCTGTAAGCAGATGAAGCTAACGGAGTCCCAGGCTACAGACACCAAAGGTTAAGACACCTATCACCCAAACTACGAGCTGCTCTGTGCTTGTAGTGCTGTAGCTACAAGAAAACCTGAGTCAAACTTATCCTACTCACTCTTGGTCGCATTCATTTTAAAAGTTACAAGCCGAGGACTTCCTCGGAGGGGCTTGTGAAGAGAGTGAATTACCTAACGCTAACATAACTTGAAACAGCATACCTGTTGTACCGAGGTGCTCTCAGTGTACCGTTTATCTGCTTTTCTTCCGATCCACTTTCTATTTATCCACAGTTTGACTCTTCGGCTTCCCTTTGAGCTTTGAAGCCTACACCCAACACCACTTAAAGGGGACGCAACGCAGAGGAAAAATAAACACATAAAAATCCTACGAATAATACGGATTATTGTGTCGATACATTGCCGAACTTAAAATAGATAATCCTAAATTGAGCTAATATATTTAACTGCCATGCCTCTTTTTGCGACGGGTTGTTTAATAAATGTTAGAACAAAGCTGGTAAAAGCCAACCGATGTCCGTCTCGGAACTTGTGTCACACGACTTGATTCCAGTCGGGTGTATTTTGGACACGCCCCCGGAAGTTCATTCAGAAAACACATTGAGTGCAGTATTATCGGATTTGTTATTATTATTTTATATTTTTTTGTATTTTAAAAATGACACTAAAAATTTAGAACAAAATGGCCACAAAACGCAAAATAGAGATAATTGTCCCTGCCGAGGAAAGCGACCAGCTACTGATTCGTCCACTGTGAGTTAATTTCTATTTTTTAGATATATGCACATACATATAAATATTATATTTTATGGCTGATTCATTGTGCCGCCATAAAACCACATACATGCACTGATACCGTATTTGGCTCATGTTGCAGCGGTGCTGGGCAGGAGGTTGGGCGGTCATGCATTATCCTGGAGTTCAAAGGAAGGAAAATTATGGTAAAATAAATAATAACAAATAATTTGTTATACACTTATATCAATAGCAATAATAACTATATTACGGTTACCTGTTTGAAGGAGTACAAAGTGCAATTTTTTGTTTTTGTTTTCATGCATTCAATACAATTAAATTAATTTTATTATTTTATATATTTTGACATATAGTTGCCATTGTAGTATTTCATGTCCGAAAGCAGCATTGATGCAGATTGGATTTAAATGAACAAAGCTGTATTTGTGTGTGGCAGCTGGACTGCGGCATTCACCCTGGATTGGAGGGGATGGACGCTCTCCCATACATAGATTTGATTGACCCAGCTGAGATAGACCTGCTGCTGATCAGCCAGTGAGGCTCAACTGCCCTGTCTCCTTTACATTTTCACATTTTTCCTGCACAGAAACGACAGTTTAGATCTCTAATTATTGCTGGTTTTATGTGTTCTCATTTCAGCTTCCACCTGGATCACTGTGGAGCTCTGCCCTGGTTCCTCCAGAAGACCAGCTTTAAAGGGAGGACCTTCATGACTCATGCCACTAAAGCCATCTACCGCTGGCTCCTATCAGACTATGTTAAAGTCAGGTAGGGGCAAAGGTGCCTAGAGACATTTACCTTTTAATTGCAGTGCAGCATACAGTCATATTTTTTATTATTATTGCAGTAACATCTCGGCAGACGACATGCTTTACACTGAAACCGACCTGGAGGAGAGCATGGACAAGATAGAGACAATCAACTTCCACGAGGTCAAAGAGGTGGCTGGAATCAAGTTTTGGTGCTACCACGCTGGTCATGTGCTGGGAGCTGCTATGTTCATGATTGAAATAGCTGGAGTCAAAGTAAAATTGCTGTTGTTTTATCGATAATGATAAGAAAGGATTGTTTGCTTTATTATTTTTTTTAAAAAGCTAACCTACATGTATATTCCCCATCTCCTTTTCCCTCCAAAGCTTCTGTACACAGGAGACTTTTCCCGCCAAGAAGACAGGCACCTCATGGCAGCTGAGATCCCCAGTGTCAAACCTGACATCTTAATCATAGTATGACATTATTCATTTATAATAAGTCATATTGAACACGTTTTTAAAATGCTCCGTAGGTGATCGAAACATAGTCAGAAACTATTATTTGTCTTTCTGCAGGAGTCCACCTACGGCACTCACATCCATGAAAAAAGGGAGGAGCGAGAAGCTCGGTTCTGTAACACCGTCCATGACATTGTCAACAGAGAGGGTCGCTGTTTAATCCCTGTGTTTGCTTTGGGACGAGCACAGGAACTGCTGCTTATCTTGGGTTAGAAGTCATGTTTGACTCCCTGATACTGAAAATGTGATAATGTGTGTCAATATCGTTAACCTCAATGTTCAAATTTATGTTTAGCACTGGATTTCCTCTGATTGTTATGACTTTGGTTATTTGTCTTCTCTTTATCCCATTATCACTCATAGAAGTCTGTAAGATCGGGTTTAATGTTCTCTTGCAGACGAGTACTGGCAGAATCACCCAGAGCTCCATGACATCCCCATCTATTATGCTTCTTCCCTGGCCAAGAAGTGCATGGCTGTGTACCAGACATATGTTAACGCCATGAACGACAAGATCCGCAAGGCCATAAATATCAACAACCCTTTTGTCTTCAAGCATATCAGCAATCTGAAGGTAGAGACTGTCACAGAAACCCTGTGCATATTCTCTCCAAAATAAAGCAGCACTGTCTATTCTTTCCAGAGCATGGATCACTTTGATGATATTGGCCCCAGCGTGGTGATGGCGTCTCCGGGCATGATGCAGAGCGGGCTCTCCAGGGAGCTCTTTGAGAGCTGGTGCACCGACAAGAGGAATGGAGTTATCATCGCCGGTTACTGCGTGGAGGGCACACTCGCCAAGGTTAGAGCACAGCAGGACGGCAAAAAAAATTTCTTAGCAAAGTGGGAAAAGATACTGTGATCTAATGATCGATATGCTGATTCAATTGCACCAGATTGACGTTATTTACAGCAATTTTCAAGCCATCAAATTTAAAACTCAGAAGCTGTGACAAAAGACAAAGGGATCAGGAATTACTCCTTTTTTTAAGAAAATAAATTAAGTTACCACAAGAAGAAAGAAAAAAAGTTTTCAGTGTTCTTTGTTCATTTTCTCTAATGAAAATGAATCGAACATGTAAAGTTTTTAGGTCATTAATTTGGCAAAGCAATCAAACTGAAGGCTCTAAAAGCAATTTACGTGCCATTTTCTTTAACTATTTTCTAAATCATTTCACTGACTAAATGATTTATCAAGAAGATAATTGTAAAATCAGTCCTCAGTTATTTCCCGCTGTGCACACTCTACAGCACATCATGTCTGAGCCAGAGGAGATCACCACCATGTCGGGACAGAAGCTGCAGCTAAAGATGTCGGTGGACTACATCTCCTTCTCCGCCCACACTGATTACCAGCAGACCAGCGAGTTCATCAGAGCCCTCAAACCGCCACATGTGGTATGAGAAGAAAGCGGTGTGGTGAAATTCACAGTTCTCTTGACTCATCTTTTTTTGTCCTTTGCATAAAATGTTGCACATGTTTAATTTCAGATCCTGGTACATGGGGAGCAGAATGAGATGGCGCGCCTGAAAGCCGCGCTGATCAGAGAGTACGAGGATAACGACGAGGTTCACATCGAAGTCCACAACCCTCGCAACACTGAGGCTGTCACGCTGAACTTCAGAGGAGAGAAGCTGGCTAAGGTGCAGTATGCTTTTTGTGATCAGCAGTCGCTGAATTGTGCGTATGCTTTTTAATGACACTGTTAAAAATGACAAATCCACTGAAAATGGATACACTTCTCTTCTCAGGTGATGGGCTCACTGGCTGATAAGAAGTGTGTTCAGGGTCAAAGGGTATCAGGCATACTGGTGAAGAAGAATTTCAACTACCACATCCTCAATCCCTCTGACCTTTCCAGTAAGTTCACTTTCATTGTCCCCAGATGGAGAACAGGGCCACCAAAGCGTTTTAGTAGCGTTAATGCTTCATGGCTCTGTCATTGTTTTGGGGTATTTGGCCTCAAAACTAAACCAAAGTAGACTCTATGAATGAATGAATGAAACGTTCCTCCTCTCTGAGCTGTACTGGCCTGATCTGTCTGTTCTGCAGCGTACACAGAGCTGGCCATGAGTACAGTGAAACAGACCCAGGCCATCCCCTTCACTGGACCCTACTCACTGCTTGTCTGCCATCTGAGGAATCTCACAGGTAAGACTGCGTGACCATTTCTGTGGGAATCTCTATGACCATCTCTGCATGCATCAGTAGACTGTCTGAGACCATCCAAACTCATAAAAAGAAACAAAAAAACACAACTGCCCACATTGTTGCAGTTTAACACGTACTGCAACCTTTTGAGTTTTGTCAGCGTGTGAGTGATTTTTACCCCGTAGTGGTGACCGTCTTTCTCAGGTGATGTTGAAGAGCTGGACGGAACTGAGAAGAACACTTTGAAGATCTTTAAAAACATCACTCTAATCCAAGAGGCCGGCATGGTGCTGCTAGAGGTGAGAGCCCACAACGTAGCGCTGTGCTTTTCACACCAGTGTGCATAACTGGGAGTCTAAATTTATTTCTTTAGAGGATAGACACAGGGTTTGATATCACTGAAACACTCTAATAATCCTTTTAACAAGGTAAGAAGGTGAACACTGCACCAGTGTGCCACGTAATAGCAACTACTCATTTATGTTTTCTGCTGCTTTCCACGTGCATGTGTCCAGTGAACTACAATGCTGGGTTTGGTTCGGTGCAGACTATTGACTGGATCACTCTCCTTTGTAGCCATATAAAATCTAAGGGACAACTTTATGATTGGTTATTTCTGCTCCTAGCCACAGATTTTTAAAGGGAGTGTACATTGTGATGCTCAGAGACAGCTTGGGACTTGTGTTTTATTAATTTGTCTTTATCTGCTGTTTCAGTGGATAGCTAACCCTCTAAATGACATGTATGCTGATGCTGTCACCACCGTGGTACTGGAGGTGCAGTCCAACCCAAAGGCTCAAAAAGGTCAGCTTGGTTATATAGACCCATATAAAAGATGGATGTAGGTAAGATGAAATCGCACACTGGTTTGTTCACACACACTTTGAAGCCCGAAATTAAACAGTTTGGCTGTGACATTTGAGCTAAGGGCTGTTGAAATCCCCAATCCACCTGATGTCATAGAAGTTATAGTCTTGGTGATTCTAGCCATTAGATTGTTTCTTTAATCTTTTCTTTTGGTCGATGATCATGCACTCCTCGTTAGTTTTGGTTTTTATGACATATTAAGTTCCCCTTTGTTTTTCTCCTTGCTATAATCAGGGCCTTTTGATGTGTAATACTCCTATTATGTTCTAGCATCCAGAAACTGCACAAATGGATTGGGTTCTGTGCACAAAGTACTCATGCACTATATTAACAGTTCACTCAGAACTTTGTATATGGGATTGTTATCACAAATTCCCAATAAGCACCTGGCATGGCACACTTTTTGGGAATTATTGTCTTTAATCCTGCATTTGTGTGATTGAAAAGTGTGTGCAATGACACCGTTTTAAAGATTTGGCCTAAATAATTCTGGAGTGAATGAGCCTAAACATGATGACTGGACTAGCGACACCGTGTCACCTGTGACTCTCACACATGCACGTATGACTTTGCCAGTTTCAGCTGAAACAATTTCAGTGTTTCAAACCATGTTCCAGAGTTTTTAGTTCACCGTTCATGAGGTTTCAAGAAGAAATTGAAAGACAGATCTGAATGTTTGAAAGTGTTTTGGAAAAACTCTGGAAAGATTAGATGAACAATACTCAAAGGATAAATTCAACTGGTTTATTTTGTTAGATAAGTTGAACAAAAAGTTAAACAAGCAAGTAAAGAAAGAAAGAAGGTAAAATGAAGTAAGAGCAAAAAAGTTAACAAGTAAAGAAAGAAAGAAGGTAAAATGAAGTAAGAGTAAAAACTTAACAAGTAAAGAAAGAAACAAGGTAAAATGAAGTAAAAGCAAAAAAGTTAACAAGTAAAGAAAGAAACAAGGTAAAATGAAGTAAGAGCAAAAAAGTTAACAAGTAAAGAAAGAAACAAGGTAAAATGAAGTAAGAGCAAAAAAGTTAACAAGTAAATAAAGAAACAAGGTAAAATGAAGTAAGAGCAAAAAAGTTAACAAGTAAA